TAAATTGATTAATTTAAAGACGTAACTTTGCAAATTAATTTATTTAAAGACGTAACTTTGTAAATTGATTAATTTAAAGACGTAACTTTGCAGGTTAATTTATTTAATGACGTTACTTTGTAAATTGATTAACTTAAAGATGTAACTTTGTAAGTTAATTAATTTCAAGCTGTAACTTTGTAAATTCATTAATTTAAAGACGTTACTTTGTAAATTAAGTAATTTAAAATTTATACCTTAAACTTTGTAAAAGAGGATCATATGAAAAAAGATCCATTTGGTCTCGTTTCAAAGCGCAAAAGTTTATTTTAAAACTAGTCAGATCGTTTCTTCTATTTTTTTTTTTTTTCAAAGATGACGAGTAAGAATACTTTCCTTCTCGAAAGTTGTAAAAATTCAAACGTTACGTTGAAACATTAAAAAAATTTTCTCCTGACTGAATGGACCGACACACTCCAGTGTGTTCTCCAATAGATTTTTCTATTTTATCTTTTCTTTACGAAGCTACATCCAAACTCTAAATCTAAATTATCGACAATTCTTCGTTAATCGACCTTGGTGCAAACTCTTCGAGTTTTGCTCTTGCACTGTAGAGACTTTCGACGAGCTGCGATCCAATAAACCTCGAAAAAAATTTCCAATTTCCGTTCCCCACCTATCCCAGAGAAGCTTCGAACTTGACAATTTTATTGTGTGCACACATTTGCAGAGAGGGCGGGAGTACTCGTTCGGCCTCGGCAAACGCAGACAGTACAGTTTCGGTCTGGGTAAACGCAACGAGAACGCGGACTACCCGGTCAGGCTGAACCTGGACTATCTTCCGGTGGACAATCTGGCCTACTACACGCAGGAGAACCTGGACGACCTTCTGGAGGAGAAACGAGGCAAGCCCTACAGCTTCGGGCTGGGCAAGAGGGCGGCGCACGCGAACGGTGGACAGCCGATCGGCTCGAAGAGACCCAACGACTTGCTCAGCCAGAGATACCACTTCGGCCTTGGCAAGAGGATGCCCGAGGACGATGAGGACTCGTCGCAATAGGACCGAATTTTCTCTCGAACGGCGTCGCCGACCCAATGTATGGCAATGTAGCTCTAATTCGATGTCGCAGAGTTTTGTTGTCAGACGAAGCATACCAATATACAAAAACACAGAAACACGCAGAAATAAAGAACGCACGTTCCGACAGTTTTCACTCGTCCCACCGCGATTCCTCGTATTCGTTCTATTCTCCTCGCCGAATTTTGTTTCATTAGGCCTCGGAAAGAAACATCTCGCAACAAGTTCTTCGCCACACGATTCCGGAGAACCGGAACGAAAAGGAGAAAACCGCGGAGCTGGGTAGATATCAGTTTCATTGTTTCAAACGCTTCGTCGAGGTTCAATCAAGTGTAATGTGATCAAATGTAACGTAAAAAATGTATTTTGAATAATCAGTTTGACAGTCAGTTTTGTTTTCATGCTGAAGGTCCCGAGATCCCCCGTAGCGATTATTTTTGTACGTACGGCGACGTCTGGCACGACTTGATGTTTGTACGAATGGAAAATGTTTTGGAGATTCGATCGAACCGTGAATGAGAGAACGCCGCACGTCATTAGTGACTTTATATTAGTGTTTAAGGTTCACTGCTTCTTCTCCTTTTTTTTTTTTTTTTTTTTTTTTAATCTACATTTCACGCATTTCTTCTGCCGTCATAAATATACCTAAATCCTGCACCTGTCGATGGCGATTCCATTTGTTTGCGATTGTGACACGCGGCGTTCTTTTCTTTCTTCTTTCTCCCAATCACAGTTACATGAATTTGAAGGTTGACCCTTTTTATCGTATCGAGAGATTCCGTTCCCATCTTGACGAAACGAGTTAAGTGGTTTTCATCATCTTGATGTAAGTTCGTTCTACCAAATCAACTGTAATACCACACGACGATAATGGCAACTTTTCGAAACGACGAGATGCGACGAGATGTCTCGTTTCTCTTTAATTTTATTTTACTTTGCGAATTGTTGCAAACGACTATAGCAGTTGTTCTAATTGTAACATACTTTGTCTAGGTAAATGATTGACATTGTTCAGTGTAAATCGAATTTATCCAGCTCTCCCTCCTTCTCTCGATTATTATTACTATTCTTTTACGATACCTACTTGCGACTATGAATTTGAATGAAGCTATCATTTGCAGCGAGACATCCGGAAACCATCGAACTGCATCCGACTTCACCGAACCGTTAGAAACCACACTACTGAATGTACTGAATTATAGTTTTACGCAACTTGTCGAATAAAAAGTAACTAGATATTGTATTACTTTCACGGAGTTAATAATTCTAGGCCGAACCTTGTTCTTCTCTGTTCAACATGTTTGTCCAGTTAATAAATGTTCTTGAGAAACGAGAAAAAAAAACTAAAAAGGGAAAGAGTGAGACCGCCTTGAAAGTCCTTGACAACCTTAAGAATAAAAAGAAAATGGGGGAGGAGATCATAAATGTTCAAAACATTCGTTATTGTCTAGGACCTCTGTCTGACATTTAATCTCATGGCTACGACAGACTTTGATACGGTAAGAACTCGATCGCTACTTAAAATATACCTAAACCTAACCTACACTGAGAACGACAGAATTTTTCGGTATAGTGTGCTCATTGAAAGACTGAACGATATAAAACAAAAATAACTTTTACAAACACATGTTTTTTTACCTAATAATGTTTTTTATACCTAAAGCTAACCTA